CCAGAGATTAAGCTAAATCGGCCCTTGGAAAGGAAATTAAAACAAACAATAATGTAACGACTGAAATGAGAACAAGGAAAGAGGAAACGTGCCACTGCTCTGAAAATGGCATGGAGATCAAGGATAATCCGGATTAGGTCTGAAAGTGTGTGATTTTATTTTTTTTTCTCTCAGCATTTGGCAATGATGATGTTGAATATGAGAACAAAGGTTAAGAAAAGTGAATGTATGGAAATGGAGTAGTACATCCTAGCTGTTCCATAGGTTATTGTGCCCAGACTGGGATAATGGATGGCTTCCATCCCCAGTTCTGAAAGAGCTGGTACCTGAAATTGGAGGAATGGTAGTAAAGTTCTTTAATAAATCCTATGAGGCTGTATACAGTGTAATATGTCAAGGAATTAACAGAGGCAGCATCTATATTTAAAAGGGATAAAAAACAGAGTTCTGACAATTGTAGACTAGTTTTTATTGTGAGGCTTCAGAGTAAATTTGGAAGGAAAATGTTTTTAAAGCATGGATCCATCAACAGTGGATTGAAGTACAATTTTCACCCATGTAAAATCATGCAAGAATTCTTCTTTGGTATGATAACTGGTTATTTAGTCAGGGAAGCTTCTTTAAATATAAGTTGACACATAAGTTTATATGTGGTGGCATATGGAAAATTATTAATTACAGTGGAGATTGTGTATATTGTTATTTTACAAGCAGGCAAAAGCTTAATGTGGGAAATGCTAGTTGCTGTTAACTGGGTTCACCTAGCATCTCTTGTTTGGAAGGATGGACATGTTGAGCTCATGTCTGTCTGCAAAATGTCATGTACCCATGAAGGAGATGAGGGATTAGTCAAATGCAATAAGGAACTAGTTAGGAGAAAGGCAACAGCAAACAGCTTTGAAAGGAGAAATGTTAAGGTCCAAGGATTTCACTAGTGGGATTCCTCTCCAATTTCTCACCAATTGGTGCTGAACCAGTTTTCTTTAATGCTGTCATTGAGAACCTTTGGCATGAAGAGCAACAGCGTACCAACGAAATTGCTTGATGACGCAGAACTGGGAGATGTTATTGATACAAAGTGGAGATACTATCAATATGAAGTTCAAGCTATCTTGCAGAAAGATTGGAATGGCTTCAAGTACTGGAAAAATGAAAGCAGTGGGGTGGAATTCAATGGTACCAAGTGTAAGGTATCTTCATTTCAGGGTGAATAAGAATTTCTACGGGTACCTGTGTAATACCAGTGGTCAGAAAAACAGACAGATACCAGAGGGTGACAGTGAGCAGTCCTACCAAGTAAGGTGTTTCCACTGGAGACCAGACGTACCGCTAGCAGAGTACTGTTAGGGATGGGGTTGAATTGACAAGGAGAATGGAGAGACTGCTTGCTGAGAGGTAACAGAAAAGGTTGGTTGTTTAGCCTCTGTAAGGAAGGAAAAATATATGCTCTCTATAAATATGGTCAGGTGGAAATATATATGCTCTCTATAAAAACATGGAAAAAAATCAGTAAAAAGATAAAGCTATGAAGCTTTATTACTCAAGTTCATTGAATGTTTTTTTTCCTTTTGTTGGATGTTGAAAAGCATTTAAAAAGCCACCTAACTCACAGGGATCCTGACAGCATAGGATGCTTACCTCTTCAAATTTAGATTAGAATTGAGGGCTCTCATGTTTTTCTTAGAGGAATTGGGAAAAGATGAAAACTAGTTTTACTCTCTGTTTTCCTTTGCTTAAGTCTTGTATTCTTCCAGCCTTTGAGTTAAGAAAACACACAGATTGTTCATTTAAACATTTTGAAACAAAAGCAACAGCAAAAGGATTAGTAATGAGATTTTCTTAGTCAAGATCTGGCTATTTTAAGTTTGATAGGTAGCAATTAACTTTTAGATTTAATTGGAAAATGTAAATTTTCAACACGTAACTGTTTGCTAAAATATAAAATGGGAGAAGTGTAGAAACAAGAATTCTCTTTTGCAGAGAAGTGGGGTGGAAGAGGAGAAGGGAGAAGGATCTATCCACATTAAACCAAATATGAATGCGTAAGAACTTGTGGGCAAAACAAAATTGTGAGGAGACCATATCCCAGTGATCAGGATTCCCCTTCAGGGTTAAACAGGAACTTCACTGAGGATGACCCCTATCCCAAAGTGGTGACTGACCTCACCTCTAAATTGACCTTTTTAGGGAAAACCTCTACCAGAGAAACCTGAGTGTAACTAGTTTTCTTCTTGTTGCTCCTTCTTTACCCTACTCTCCAAAAAAATTTAATCAAAAATGATCCATTTCTGTGAAGAGTTCTGATTTCCACAGCTTGACATTTTCCAAAGGAATAATATTTTGTTAAAAAGTTCCCAAGCAGCTATTGTTATTACTAGAGGTGAGCTCATGTAGGATTTTTGCCATGTGCTCTATGGATGGATTTCAATATACATTATAGGAGTCTTCCAAATGTTTAATAGTAGTGCAGGCACCATTGTTTTAGTTAGCAATTTAACTTTTTGATGGGCACTGTTTTCCTTTCCTTCTAGTGAAGGAAGACATCTCTCTTTTGGGAGGATATCTGAGTCATTTATTTCTGTTTAACATTCTTCAGGCCTGTGAATGATGGGTCATTTTGTTGCACGGCTGCATGCTGTGCACAAAACTCTTGTGCTTGAATTTTTTGTTGCTCTCATGCAGCTCCCTAGAGTCAACCCCACTGCAAGCTACTGAGGAGGTTAGCAACTGTCTACTTTTCTTCCCTTCAATTTTTGTAGCTGTTTTTTTTTTATTACTTTTATTTTTTCTAAATCCAAAGCACCTGATTCTGCTGTTATTTTTACTGGTGCAAACCCAGATGCAAACCCAGTCAAATCAGTGCAGTTTTCACTGCTGAAAAACTGATATAAATAAAAGTCTTCAAACTCTAGTGCCTTCTGACTTTTGTCCTGAAAAGCAAGTGGAACATTAGGTGTATTTTTTATGATAGTTCTCCAAAGAGACTGGCTGTTAATCTCTCTGTGAGTAGGTGTGTCAGCTGCAAACATTTCCTTCCAGTCTACCATTTCAATCACACTTCACAGTACACTGAAAATTGGCAAGGATGTTAATTATTGGCCTCTAGAACAAACCACCTACTTTGATTCAAGCGTGTTTTCCAATTTTTAAAAATGTTGTTTCACCTACAGAACAGTATAATTACAGAAAATGGCTTGGTTTGGCTAACATCCTTGTGTTCTGTGAGTTCTGCTTGCAAAGCACCAAGTATACTGGGCAAGAGGCTCACCTGCAGAGGATTTTAACCTCTTGCTGACAGGAGTTAGGACTTGCCAGCATCCAGTACATTGTTTTCAGTATCAAAAGCTCTAAACCACTGTCACTCAGAGGTTAAACATTAACACTTTCTGCTTTTAAAACTGAAGAAACCCTCCATATAGTAAGTTTGTTGTTATTCTCCAGGGAACTTCCTGTTAAAATTTTATGAATGTCTGTTACAGGAGCAATTACAGCAGTGGGTCCTGTACCCAGGCAGTGCAAAACCCTGGGTGCAACGTGACACACTGAGCAGCATGGTGCAGAGACTGGTTGTGTAGCTCCATTTGTGCAATGCAGTGTTTAATAAAATTTGCCAGGAGTCAGCCATGTATCCCGGACAGGATTATTCAGCCAGCAGAATAAATTGCCCATAGATGACTGGGAATTGACAGTAAACAGTAAAACACCTGCCTTGAAGACTTACAGTCTTAATAGACAAACAGGAAACAGAAGCAAGTGGGAGCCCTGTTTTAGGAGATAGATTTTGAGGCATCCAGACATTGTTTGTGATTATACAGTGAGTTTGGCAGAGCTAGAGGTTGAACTCCGTGCATTTCCCTTCGTGTGTTTGTAGCTCATGTAACAGGTCTTTAATTTACCAAGAAACTTTTCCGCAACACGGTCCTGAAGAGTTGGCAAAATCTGCAATTAGCATGTCTCACACATGTGCCTCTTGGTTTGGGTCTCTACAATTTGTACAATTAATAACTTACACCATGAATTAAAAACATTGGAAAGCAGCCCAATGCTCAGGCTCATGTGTCAAATAATTGCTGTGCAAGCCCGGTCTTATTTGTTGTTACAACAATTAATCATCCGCTGATTTTAAGATAATTTATATGGTACCTGGGCCCTCAAGAGAGTCCTGCGGTGCTATTGAAACAAGTCATTTTAAAATTAATGGTGATTAAGCTATAGAGCCATATTAAATATACATGAGTACTTACTTGTCCTACCTTCTCTTTAACCATGAGGCTGTGTCCGGGCTGGCTATCTTCCTAACCTACAAGCCACATGCTGCAATTTCCATAATGGCTGTGAGTCACAAGCCCTTTGCAGTGTGGTGTGAATAAACAATGGGAGGGGGAACATCCGGGAGGGCTCACAGGTGGGCGATGGCAGCGATTGCCCAGGGATTCCCTCACTCCACTGTAAACCAGATCCTGGGGGAGAAAGCACCCAGGTCGCAGGGCGAGCCCGTGCTGGCTCGTCGGCTGCTGCCGCTCAGTGTGCAGGTTAGCCGGCAGCTCTCCTGCCACAGGAGCCGTGCTTAACAGCCAGAGCCATGTGCAGACCTAGTCCTCCATCGGTAGTTGGGGGCCGAGTGCCTTGCTTCACTCGCTGTATGTTGATCAACGGTTTTGCACTACGGCAACATTATTTCAATATGAAATATGTTTACTGATAAAAACTTGGCTGAACCGAAGAGGTCTAACCTTATCTATTTGAAAAGCTTCCCATATATGCGAGGGAAGCCATTCATAACGTCATTCTACTGGGGGAAAAAAAAACTAGAAACAGCTGCAATGCTAGAACAAGAAGGGATTTTTCATAAGAATTAAATAGGCAGTGTTACAAAACAGTATAACGTGATATGTGCAATTATAATAAAGCATGTCTGAAATATACAAAAGATTGTTATGTTTTCAAAGCAATATGGATATTCTGAACAAATTGTTTATCATTTATTTATCATTTCACAGACAGAATTGACAACCTTGCAAGAAGAAAAAGAGGCTGCTCTTCAACAGTGCAAAAAATTAGAAGAAGAAATCCAGACATTGCGTGTTTATTACAGGTAAAATAATTAATACTAGTATAAATCAGTGACTCATAGGGGAAATTTTCTGAACTGTGTCTGACTGTGAGTGAGGAAGTGGCCTTATCAAATAGGTATTTGTTGGAAATGTGAATACATCAATGAATCAAGGCCTGCATTTCTGCTTTACTGCTCACCAACCATCTCTTTGAAATAGAAGTTCTTTATAGCCTAAATTTTCTATTAGTTTCTTCTAAGGGAAAGGGAAGGTTGCTGGCAGTGTATTCTCATAAAAATGAAAAAGCTGTGTTACAGAGATACATTCACTTAAAAACATGAGGACAAAAGAACCGGTTGACTTAAGTGCTTGTTTCTTCTCTGGTTGTTTGCACATACCTGACAGTCAACATAGATTTTAAAATAATAAAATCTGCAATTCTAGAAGACTGTTTTCTTTTTTAACCCCAACATAATAAGTATGGTTTAATTCCTTACATTCTGTAGCAGTACATAGTATGAGAGAAATAGCCATTCTCTCATTAATTTAGGTGGGCTGCACTGAACATTTGCATGGATCAGCGGGTTTTAGTCCCTAAGGAAGAGCTCTGTGTGGTCCAGTGAAGGAGTTAGGTTGTTTTATGGAGTGATGTTGGGTTACAACTCTCATTTCATCCTGACCTCCTGTGTGAGAGGGGATACAGAGCTGCCAACAGGTTAAAGGCAGGAGAATTGGCATCGACACAGCAGAAAATTGTGAACCTGAAGGCTGAAAGTCTGTGATGAGGGATGTGGGCTGCAGAGGTAAATAATAAATGTAGTGTGAATATTATGTTCATTGGAAATAAAGAGGACTAGTTAGTTATAACTAAAAAGCATTTGCAGTAGCAGAACTGTGTATGTTTTCAGTGTTTCAGCAGTTACAAGTGAAAAATACTCGGGTTTCTAGAGGTTTTTTGAGTTTCCCCTTCTCATTAAGTTTATTAAAACCTTGGAGGGAAGTTTCAAAAAAAACTTTTGTTCCTAAATCTCATAGGCATTTATTTAAAGCCTGTTAATAGTGAATAGAAACCCCAAGCAATTTGTGATTATTACTTTTAATGAATTTGGTCAGTATTTAGTGTGTGCACAAATTATGGCATGATTTACCAAGCTAGAAAGAATTTATTATAGTGACCTTATTACTCATTTAAATGGGTTTTGCAGAATAATTTACAAACTGAAATGTAATTTTTGTACTGATATTTCAGAAACTAAGAGTTTGCTTGGGTTTATCTCTGCACATTGCATGAGATATTTTATTTACTTTTGAGCTACATTTTCGACATAGCGTATCAAGCTTGCACTAACATATAGCATTTAACAAGTGTAGTAGGCAGCAGCTGCAGTTTACTCATGTAAATCCTTTAAATCTCAAAAATGTTAACCATAATGAGTTGCAGGAATCACCATTAGAATGTACCATGTCCTTAACTTATGGCCCTTAATTTGAAAAGGCAGAAATTTTGAAAAGGCCTTCTCATCTCTGGGCTGAACCACCCCAACTCTCTCAGCCTGTCTTCACAGATGTGCTCCAGCCCCCTGATGATCATCTTCTGGCCCTCCTCTGGACTTGATCCAAGAGGTCCACGTCCTTTTTATGTTGAGGGCCCCAGAGCTGAACACAGTACTCCAGGTGTGGTCCCACAAGAGCAGAATAGAGGGGGAGAATCCCCTCCCTTGACCTGCTGGTCACACTTCTCTTGATGCAGCCCAGGATACAGTTGGCTTTCTGGGCTGCAAGCGCACTTTGCCAGGTCATGTTGAGCTCCTCATCAACCAACACCCCAAGTTCTTCTCCGAAGGGCTGTTCTCAATCCACTGTCTGCTCAGCTTGTAACTGTGCTTGGACTTGCCCCAACCCATGTGCAGGACCTTGCACTCGGCCTTGTTGAATTTCATGAGGTTTGCACAGGCCCACCTCTCCAGCCTGTCAAGGTCCCTCTGGATGGCATCCCTTCCCTCCAGCATGTCAACCGCAACACACAGCTTGGTGTCGTTGGCAAACTTGCTGAGGGTGCACTCAATCCCACTGTCCATGTCACCAACAAAGATGTTAAACAGCACTGGTCCCAGTACTGACCCCTGAGGAACACTACTCATCAGCTGGTCTCTACTTGGACATCGAGCCATTGACCACAACTCTTTGAGTGAGAGCATCCAGCCAATTCCTTATCCACTGAGTGATCCATCTGCCAAATCCATGTTTCTTCGATTTAGAGACAAGGACGTCATGCTGGGACATTGTCAAAAGCTTTGTACAAGTCCAGGTAGATGACATCAGTTGCTTTTCCCTTATCCACCAATGCTGTAACCCAGTCATAGAAGACCACCAAATTCATCAGGCACAATTTGGCCTTAGGGAAGCCGTGTTGGTTGTCACCAATCGCCTCCTCATTTTCCACATGCCTTAGCGTATTTTTCAGGAGCATCAACTCCATGATCTTGCTGGGCACAGAGGTGAGACTGATTGGTCTATAGCTCCCCAGGTCTTCCTTTTTTCCCTTGTTAAAAATGGGGGAGGTGGTTATGTTTCCCCTTTTCCAATCAGTGGGAACTTCTCCAGACTGCCATGACTTCTCAAATATGATGGATAATGGATTAGCTACTTCATTTGCCAGTTCCTTCAGGACCCACAGATGCACTTCATCAGGTCCCATGGACTTGTGCACCTTCAGGTTTCTTGGATGGTCTGGAACCTGATCTTCTCCTAGAGTGGGCAGTTTTGCCATCTCCATCCTTGGCATTTCCAGTGCCTGACTTAATAAAGGCATGAGTAACCTGGTCTGATCTCATAGTTGATATCACTTTGAGAGGGAGATTGTTTGGACTGGAGACCTCCAGCAGTCACTTCCAACCTGAATTATTCTAGAGTTCTGTGATCAGGTAGTTGCTGCTGTATGAAGCCATTCAATTTTTTTCTCCAGCTGTGAATGAAGTCTATGTTGTAATCCATACTTCATTGCAGATGAAGTGGAAAGTGAATCCTAGCTGAAACTGGAGTTTCCTGGAAAGCCTGAAAGACCCAAAACAGAATTAAAACGAGCTTTTGGGGAATAAATGATGGAACATTGATTTCCATTTGAATTTTGACTTTCTGAAAAGAAAGCACATTCCAGAACAATTCCAGCCTTCTTTAAAAGCAAAGAGAAGTGAAAAGGAGGAAGAATCTAGTTCAGATACAAAAGGGAGAGGAAGTTGGCTCAGAATAATTTTGGGCAGGTTCTCTGCTTCTGTTTGTTCTTCTTGTGTTGTTTCTGTGTCATGTCTCAAAAGGAAAATTGCATTTTCTGGATAGTAACTCAAAAATACATATCAGAAATTAAAATTTGCATAACAGTTAGGAACAGTATAGAGTTTCTAGCTTACAAAAATAATTGTTTCAACACAGTACTCTTTAAACTAAGGATTAATGCAAATCATAGATCCTCAGTGACCAAATAAGGCTGTATCCAAATAATCAGTTTTGAAGTATGTGGGAGTGTTAATCCCATTACATCTTTCTCACATATCTCTGTTGTTTGAACATCATCAGAGGTTTTTTTATTTGCATATAGTTCAGTTATGTGGTCTGTCCATTTTTATAATCAGTTTCCTTCTATTTCAATAATGCTTCAGAATTGTACTTCTACACGTCAAAATGGTGACATAGACATGCTATTGCATACTGCTTATTTTTTACAGACTAGATAAAACAGAACATCTGTGTATGAGAAATATTTCTCTATATAGGGAAGTATATATAAATTTTCCTGATTATTTTTATTTTAAAGTTTACAGTACTTCACTGAAAAGCTCTGGCACCAGGAGTTTTTACAGGCAAATAATTCGAACAAATTTTAACTAGTTCAACAAAAGGCACATCTCTGACATATCAACCCCATTGCAAAGAAAGATAAGACAGTGAAATAAAAATAGAAGACTATCCTTACTTAAAAGTATGTTTTTGATAGGTTTCGTGTTGGGGTCAGGTGCAGTGATGCTCAATTCAATAAAATTACTGTTTACTCTCCAGCTGTGTATGATGTACATCTGCATTAGTTCACACACCTTTGAATGAAGCTGTTGAGAATAAGAATTGGTATGTCCAGGCTCTAGGGTAAAATTTAGTAAGTTTGAGTAGTTATTTCAATGACAGTTTAAGAGGCTCCTCTTTGATTAATCGAGTGCTATAAAAGCCATATATTTGCCAAATCTGATGTTTACGGGGGAAGAGGGACAGTTAAAACTTTTTGCAAAAAGTCTTTATCCAAAGGCTCTTCCAATTTGTTGTTGAAATGTGTGAGATGCAGAACTAGGTGCAAGCTGGAAGTCACAATGGGAAGAAACATATTTATTTCAGCAAATTTGCTTCTGAACAGACATTTGAAAAAACTTGCAATGTTAAAATGAAATTCAATTTAGAATTATTTTTTACTCTCCTCAAGTTGAGATGAAGATCTGATAGAAAGAACACAGTACCATAGGGAGAAGGAGTTTTGATGGCAGATCCATGTCACAGTCCCAGGAACTACACGTTGCAGAGTAATAGGAATCTATAAGTTACAGCCAGAATGGGAGAAAAAGATTGCCTATTTTACACTTATGTGATGGCTTTTAATAATGAAATAAAGAGTAAATTCAGTGAGACCCCTTGTACTACTAAGTACTGTGATCTGAAATAAATATTTTTTAGAATCAAACTTTCAATTAATATGGGTAGCTGTTCTGTCAGTACTGCAGTTTTCTTGCTCCCTAGCCATTTGTATTACTTTCATAAATTATAAATTGGTGAAGAGCTTTAACAAAATTCAAATATAAAAGTTTCAGTGCTCCTAATACTTCAGTTAAATTGGAATTCATGTTTAAGTGACACAGGCAAATGATTTAAATAACATTTTTTTTTATGGAGGTCCATTTGTTTTTCCTATAAAGCGTTCTGTAAAAAAAACGTGAAGGTTCATCTTTTTAAAGATTGAAATTGATAGATGTGAAAGAGGATCAAGAAGGTTTTTTTTATGATT